CGTTACAGATCAGAAGCACAGAGAGTCGTTGACTAGAGATGATACGCCGTCTCACGGCGGTCACTTCCTGTCGACGTTACAGATCAGAAGCACAGAGAGTCGTTGACTAGAGATGATACGCCGTCTCACGGCGGTCACTTCCTGTCGACGTTACAGATCAGAAGCACAGAGAGTCGTTGACTAGAGATGATACGCCGTCTCATGGTGGTCACTTCCTGTGAACCAGCAGCTTTTTACAACATTACAGAACGGAGCGTTGACAGTAGGTGTTTGTTTCAACTTGTCTTGTCGTGAATCTTTGGTCTGAACTGGACTTAAAAGCTTTTTGAGTGGCTGGAAGACGAGACAGGAGCTGTATGAGTGCTGTTGGTCTACTGCTGCCTCCATCAGTTAGTTTGTGATCTCTGTAGACGAGGACCTGCTCCCTATGTAGATATAAACGTCTCATTATGAGGGAACCAGAACCAGAACACAACCATCCTGATCAGTGGAGCTTTAAGACACCAGCAGCTACCCGAACTGTTTAGATCCAACTTCAACATGATCACAGACTCAGCAGCACACAGGTAGAAATACTCACAGTGATGTGGAGCCTGCGTACAACATTAAACCCTGAAACACATCAGCTGATAAATGCTGCGATATAAAAAACTGCTCTATGAAATTCTAATCATTATTATTATTATTGTTAGTTGAAACACACTGTTAACTGTTTCCTCCTTCAATAAAACAGCCACTTCCTTGATTCAGCTGCACGTTCTGATGCAATCACAGAGCTCAGTCATTAATTTTACATTCACAGAGATAATAATGACCAGTTTGTGTTGACTGTCACAGAGAAATGAATTTAACCAGATTATTATTGAGGTGGTTTGTGGTGATGTTAAACTGAACTTTAATGTCTGTAAATGGAACAACCTCAGTTTAATGTCGTCCAGTTCAAAAAAAAAAAAGAATTCCTCTGTGACAGTCGACAAAAACTGAACCTTATTATCTTTGTCACTGATATATTGATCATGTATCAGCATTATAATGCAACGTACGCCCGTTCAAAAATCGCTGAACTTTTAATTCATCAGAATATGCAGACTCTGAAACTGGACACTTGATACTGAAATGTTGATCAACAAAAACAAAACCGTGACGTCTGCCACTCAAAGACAAGTTTGGATTAACAGATTGGCAGATGAAGTTTTTGGAGGTTAAACTACAAGATTTTGGCTCGTAAGGGACACGACAGAAACCTTCAGTGCAGTGTGTCTGTGTGTGCTGAGCAGGGACGGAGGGACAGGTGAGCTGGACGTCAGTGAACGGTCAGCGTGAACCACAGCTCGTCAGAACCGTAGGACCGGTGAAGCTGTTTCAGCTGCAGAAGAGAAATTCAGTTGCATGTTTTGAGTCACATGACAGGGTGCCGGCTCCGGCCTACGGGTCCTACGTTTGACACCCCTGTCTGAGATGCTCATTAAATATGCTTAAAAACTAAAATAAGTCTGTGCAGGTGTGCCTAATAAAGTGGCCAGTGTGACATCATCAACACTGTCCAATCAGTGAGTTCCCTGTGAGTCAGTGTGAACAGGAACTGAAACAACAACAGTCTTTATGTCCTCAGGTTTGTTTATTGTGTGTGTGTGTGTGTGTGTGTGTGTGTGTGTTTACAAGTCACGTTGTTTGTTGTTATCTCAGTAAACAACAACAACACTAACAGCTCCGTGGAAACAGTAAAATGATGTCAGCAGAGAATTCAGGACCCTGTGAGCAGGCCGCCACCGGCTCTGTTACCAGGTGTCCTGTTGCCATGGTGACCAGCCAGGACCGTGTGTGTGTGTGTGTGTGTGTGTGTGGTTGCTCTTCAGATGGATCCGTTTCCTCCATCTGTCCCAGCAGAATAACAGATCCCCTCTAAACACACTCCGCACACACACACACACACACACACACACACACACACGGTCGTATTTTTGTGTGTTTTCTCAGTCTGAATTTGTGTCCACACCACTTTTCACTGAGAGCGGAGGAGACGGCGTCTGCAGCCGACACTAATTAGATCATTTCCTGCAGTAAAAGTAAAAGTATGATGAAAATACTCCATTACAGGTACGAGTCCTGTGTTCAGACCCAGACTGCAGAACAGGAAGTAGTAGCGGCAGTGTGTTTGTTTCTGATGTTTGTGGATGCATCTTCATTTGTTTTTCCTGCTGTAGATGTTGAACTCATTGCAGTGCATTTTCATAAAAACTTTTTTTTAAAAATTTGAACAAAAAGCTGAGAAAATGAATCGCTGGCAAAGAGTCATTTTCAATATAAAATCTTTCACATTTACATTTTTTGTTTTGTGTTTTTCTCATTTCCTTGCATCAGCTTGAATCGTAGAAATCAAAGTAATAATAATAATAATGATATTGTCGTTGAGGTTCAGAGGAGCACGTTGTCACGTTCAGTGTTCTGTCGTCTCCGTCTCCTCTGTGGTCGTCTCATCCGTGTGTCACTGTCCCTGTAGTCTCGCTCACCAGACCTTTCTCAAGAAAAGAAAGGTCTGGCTGGGCTGACTCTCACTTTAAAACGCCCCGGCTGCTTGTATTTCTTTCAACCAATCACAATCGTTCTGGGCGGTGCCACAGCAATGGTGCGCTTGCAAAAATATTGCATATTGGTGTAACATGCCCACAAAAATATCGCCTATAGGACGCGAACCATGGCAGAAAAATGGCTACATCCCCGCAAGATCAAACACCGCAAAAGTTAGTAAAGGACGTGTTGAAAACAGTAGAAAACTGCTGCACAACCAGAGGTGGTAGGGCGGGACTTCAGCGGGTGGCTCGTTCCACCCAATGAGAGGCTGATCTGTGCAGCAAACTTCCGCCCACTCAGACTACTGTCCCCGTCATGGAGATCTCGTTTCGTCCCACCAAACTCGTTTGTTTCTTCGCCCAATCAGATTCACAATGTTGATCAAAACAGGAAGTGCCGCGGTCTGAGTCCATCAACGTCTCCACGGCTTCAGAAACCGTAAACGTTTCCATCGGCGCCGGCATTTTCACGTTCAGTTTGTAAACTGCAACATCTTCTTCTGGTTTCCAGCAGATCTTCTTCTTCCTTTGTTTGTGGACACAGCCGTGCTGTTCTATTTCACAAGATGTGTAACAGCGCCCCCTGTCTATAACAGTGAAAACACAGACGGCCAGAAAATCTCGTCAATGGCGGGGAAAGAGTTAAAAAATCTCACTGTAAATTGAAAATGGTGCCATTTGCTATAAGCTTGTGTCTTAAAAAAATGCAAACTCATCTCCATTATCATTTTCTTTTCTTTTGTTTTTTTTGGGGAAAACAGTCGTAGCAATCTGTAACAAAATGAAATCCTTGTTTTACATCAACAATAAAACCGAATAAAGTAAAGCCAACAGCCTGTTGGTCGGTTAATCACAAACAGGTTTGTTATTTCCAAACCTTTTACAGCTTCTTGTTCCTGACATCTGTCTGACACAGGACAAAAACACGTGTGGCGTTCAGGTCTAACTCTGTGCTCTGGTGCTTTGTGTTTTGTTGCAGAGGAGCGACGTCCATTGTGTATCGCTGTGAGGAGAAACAGACTCAGAAACCCTACGCTCTCAAAGTCCTCAAGAAAACGGTCAGTGAATCTTGATACTGCACACACACACACACACACACACACACACAGGCACCACAAACGGGGGAAGAAAAAAAAACCTAAATGTTTATCTTTTACTATTTTTCACTAAAACTATCACTGCTATTATTTTGAAATATTAATATAACCACATATCAAAGCCTGCTAAATAACAGAGAGGCCTTTTTGTCTGGGTTCATGTGGCCCCCCCAAACCCCCCCCCCCCCCCCCCCCCCCGTTAGCAGTTAGCAGCTAGTTATTGTTATCTCTGAGCAGCTGGTGAACACAACCAACATCTTACAGAGGTTACATTGATTTACATTGTGAGGCGTTCAGGCTCTATTCTGTATAAATGAGTACTGAGTGAAGGAAATTATAAGGTTCTCATGATGTGTTCAGTGTAATCTTGTAAAATGTAACTTTTGGAGGTAAAGTTGAATAAATCAGTTGTTTGAAGGAGAAATGTGTCGATGCTGTCACAGCATGATAAAACAGATATTACAGATGAATTATGACGGATCATATATAGTAAATATATGTTTAAAGATGTTTTTCAAGTGAAGGTTGTCTCATAAATGTGTGTTATTGAATTTGTGCTCATTCAAAGGTGTGAAGTGTGATGAAGGACTGAATTCATGTATTTTTTATAGTGTAGATTTCTGTGTTTCCCTGGAAACAAAAGAGGAATAAATAAAAACAAAAAACAAAAGCAACACTAATATAAAAACCTTGGTGTCAGTATCGACCCAGAATTTCAAAATCGCTGCATCCCTCGTTCAGTAAGAAAGTTAATTTGTACTTTTTTTTTTGATGTCGTTTATTATTTTATTGTTTATTCTTCTGAACAAGTTGATTTTTAATACCTTTTTATAGATGAATTAATGATTCTTATCCTCCTGAGACCTGAACTTTTGTTTGGTATGCCTTTTTAATTTCTCCTAGCTACTTGGGATCAGTGTGAGTATGAAAAAATTAAATATTGTCAACAATAATAAAGTCCCAATGACCTCAAATCAGATGATAATTAAGCCTAATGTCTTCAGTGTCTTATCTTGTTACTGTTGCTAAAATTGGTGAAATGTGTTGCCATATCAACCGACAAACATTATTAATCATAAATAAACAATTGTCAACAATAACTTGAGATCAGGTTTTGGACCTTGTCCACTTTTGTGTCGGGATCAGCTGCAGACTGACTCTGCAGAGATGGCTGCCATCTTGTTTGTACATAAATTAGAGTTTTGTGCTCATACTGCCACTAGAGGGCACACAATAGTGTCCACAAACGAGGACGACAGGTCTGAGTTAAGAAGAATGAAGTATAAGGTCAAGTAAACCCAAATTGTGATGTCATCATATGAGGACACAGGGTCTCAGGAGGAACTAAATGTGCTTGAACCGCCACCACACACACACACACACACACACACACACACACACACAAAGCTGATCTATATCCTCATGTTGTTAACGCTCATTCAGATTAAACACTTCCTGTCACAGTTTGAACGCGTCAGATTTTGTTTCTTGTGTCACAGATTGACAAGAAAATAGTTCGTACAGAGATCGGCGTCCTGCTGCGTCTGTCGCACCCAAACATTGTGAGTATGGTTCTCACTATGTGACAGTAATAATTTATTTAATGATGATTAACTGTAAAATCAGTGTGATTATTTTACATGTTTTATGAGTGTTTAAAGTATATACATGTAAATATTGTGATATGATGCCATTGGACAGTTGTTTTGTGTGTGTTCATATTCATCATGTGCACAACAGTTAGAGAGAATCAGTCGAGGAGAATCAGGTTCCTCCTCCGACGATGCTCATTAAATATTTATGAAACAGAGGAAGATGGATTTCTGGTGTGGTCTGTGAAACATTAGTGCACAGTGAGAAAAGCCTGTTACAATATCCCAGAGCCTGAAGTGACCTCATCACGTCATGTTTTAGCCAAAAAAACCTCAAATATTAAATTTACTGTGATGAAAGAAAAATGAAGGAAACATCAGAGAATCTGAAAAAATCAGTCAGAAGTTCTCATGAATCAGGAACATGTTCTCCATCAGAACCAGTTACTGATATAACCTGAGTTGTTTCTTGTTTCCTGTCAGATCCAGCTGAAGGAGATCTTTGAGACGGACACTGACATCGCTCTGGTGCTGGAGCTGGTGACGGGAGGAGAGCTGTTTGACAGGTAAAGTATATGACACCACGCACTACGCACCACAGACTACGTACGTTCTGAACGGCCTGAACATTTATTATTATAAAGGCTTTAGATGTGTAACTGCTGTCAGCTGCTCAGTTAGTTCATTCTTGTTGGCTCCTAGTTCTTGTTAGCGTCTCAGTCCAGTTAACTTAGAGTTAGCCTCTAGTTCTTGTTAGCTTTTAGTGGACACGGTTTTGTGAGTTTAATTTTGTTTCTGTCTACTTTAAATGAAGTGTGTTTTACAATGATATATTTACTGTGTATTTAAATGGGGTCTGGTGGGTTTGGTGATGGTGATTTCAGGGCTGTTTCTGGATCTTTAACAAAGAGCTCTATCTCTGTAGGGATCCTTTCCATAATGTTATCAGACACTTAGAATAACACTCTGAGCCTGTCAGTGACAAAAACAAACTCTTGTAGGGGACGGACATTGACGGTGTGAACAGAGTAGTTACATTACAGCCTGTTTTGCTGAGTGCTGGACCACTTTATTAGTCACATAGACACAAAAACATTGGACAGTAGGGTCCAGGTAAGCTAAATAGCGTGCAGTTCATTTTAACAGCTAATGCTGTTAGCTTCTGCCAACGGTTCATTTATCAGGTGGGGAGTTCAGTTAAAACAGAACATCTTTGTATGTTGTAATCTGCAGAGTTACTAAAACTGATAAATGTAGTGACGTATAAAGTAACTTAAAATGGAATGGAAAATTTTTGTCGTACTTGAGTAAATGTTCTTCCCCCACTGTTGGTCTTAGTATGAAATGTAAATACACTGGCACCATGTGATATTTCTCCCTGATGTTTGTCTGCAGGATCGTGGAGCGAGGTTACTACAGCGAGCGAGACGCCGCTCACGTCATCAAACAGATCCTGGAGGCCGTGGCGGTAAGACGACTGCTGCATTTAGTGTCTGTTGTCACTGTCGGGAAAATCCAGCCCAGGCTGAGGGTCTGGTTATTGTCACACAGGAGCCACAGTCAGAGTGGATCCTCCAGCTCCATCCATCCCTCCGCTCATCAGATTACTGTTCATCTCCTCCATCTCTGCTCATCTCTGTTCAGCCTCCACAGCTTCACCTTCTGATTCACTGATCACAGACCAGCTTCTCTCTTTAAACTCCATCAACCCGCGTGTTGTTTTTATGTCTCAAAACAGTCACATAACCAGCCGAGACGCTTCAACCTGTCCCATATACAGATCTGAGGTCCTGTTAGCTAACTGTTAGCCTCAAATTTTACTTTGTGTAGATTTAGCATCTTGTTTTTGTTTTGTATGTTATCTCCTAGGTCGGGTTAATGTAGAGTTAGGTCCTGGTTCTTGTTAGCTTCTAGATCGGGTTAACTTTGAGGGGAGCGTATCTATGTTTCCCAGATTCTATGTTCCCCACTTAACCCTGCAAAAAAGGTTCTATGTTCCCCGCTTACACAAAAAAAGGTTCTATGTTTCCTGGGTTCTATGTTGCCCGCTCAACCAAGTGGGAAACATAGAAGCTTTTTTGCAGGGTTAAGTGGGGAACATAGAACCCGGGAAACATAGAACCCTGGAAACATAGGGATGACCCCAACTTTGAGTTAGCTCCTAGTTCTTGTTAGTTTCTTTGTAGTTGCAGGTGCAGCTTTAGTTTGTGTAGTTGCAGATGCTAATGTAGTCGAGCTACTATACAGTTAGCTCCTAATGCTTGTTAGCTGCTGGGTCGAATTAACTCAGAGTTAGCTCCTAGTTCTTGTTAGCTTCAAGGTGGAGTTTTTTTAGAGTTAGCTCCTTGTTCTTGTTAGCTTCAAGGTTGAGTTTTTTTAGAGTTAGCTCCTAGTTCTTGTTAGCTTCTAGGATGAGTTTGTTAGAGTTAGCTCCTAGTTCTTGTTAGCTTCTAGGATGAGTTTGTTAGAGTTAGCTCCTAATTCTTGTTAGCTTCTAGGATGAGTTTGTTAGAGTTAGCTCCTAGTTCTTGTTAGCTTCTAGGCCGAGTTAATGTAAAGTTAGCTCCTAGTTCTTGTTAGCTTCTAGGCCGAGTTAATGGAGTCCATGTCATTGGTTCAACAGCCCACTGGTTCGACATCCCATTAGTCCGACTGTCCGCGGTGCTGAACGTCTCGTCTTGAGGCAGAGCAGGCTCACGGCTTATGTGTTTGTCACTTTCTTTTTCATTTTAACCCACACCATGATCTTTTCCTGACCCTAACCAAGTGGTTTTTGTGCCTAAACCTAACCAGACCTTAACCACAGGGCGTCATGATGATTTCGGAACGGACTTTGGAACAATGAGTTTAATATGGTCGGAACAATGGGATGTCGAGCCAATGGGCTGTTGAACCAATGGGCAGTTCCCGAGTTAATGTAAAGTTAGCTCCTAGTTCTTGTTAGCTTCAAGGTTGAGTTTGTAAGCATTAGCTCCTAGTTCTTGTTAGCTTCTATGTCAAGTTAATGTGAAGTTAGCTCCTAGTTCTTGTTAGCTTCTAGGCCAAGTTAATGTAAAGTTAGCTCCTAGTTCTTGTTAGCTTCTAGGTTGAGTTTGTAAGAGTTAGCTCCTAGTTCTTGTTAGTTTCTAGGTCGAGTTAATGTGAAGTTAGCTCCTAGTTCTTGTTAGCTTCTAGGTTGAGTTTGTTAGAGTTAGCTCCTAGTTCTTGTTAGCTT